TCTAGGGTTAAGGGAGCTTAGACTAAGGAGACAGAGAGACCAGAAAGACCTGGGTTCAAGTCCCAGCCCTGCTACTCACAGCACTCCTTCATGCAGCTGTGAATCCAAAGCACAGGGCTTTACGCCTTAGTTTTTCCATCTGTGAAATGGGGACAGTAACACCCACCTATGGATTGTAGGTTTGAAAGAGGTGGTGTGGCAGGTGGTTTACCAAGGTAGTGGTTGTTACTGCTCTGATAGTTAACTAGGGAAAGAGAAATACATCAAAGCAAGGGGAAGCATGTACACTGCCAGTGCTGTCTGGATTGGAGTGTCAGACAAAGTCGCAGGGAGGAAAGATTCTTGCTCCGTCCTCCTGTGATGTCCAGCTCTTGGAAATCTCCTCCAGGCTCCTGAAACAGATAAATGCCAGATTTCCTCAGAGTCTGCTCAGCTCTGCCAACAGTTTTGTCCTTCTCTGGCAGCATGGTGCCATATTTACCCAGCCAGCACGCACAGCCCCTAACAGCACCCTCCCTCTGTCATCCAAGGGGGCAGGTGTGGAACAGATGAGCAGAGAGTGTGGCCTGTCCAGGGGTCTGCTAACAGGGGTGATGTGTACCTGTTAGGCTGGGCCGCCAGACATGCCTGCGCACGCCTGCATGCATAAACATGTACGTGCACACGTCACAGTGTTTGGACCGGATGCAGCTGGGAGTCCTGACCGGCTACCCCTGCAAAGCTGTTATCTTGGCTCTTGAGGTTGACCATGAAGTCCACAGGGCAGGCGTTTGGGAAGAGGAGGGGGCCGTCACTGTGCCCCATGGGTTTAGTGCAACTCAGTTCTGATGCTAAGTGCTTGAAGTTAATGTCTGAGTCCTCAGTTCTAAATCCATGGTTCCCATCATGATGGCCCCCCGCTTTTGATGCCAGCGATAAATGGGTCCCTAAACCACCTGCACTTCTGACCCACTGGCTACAAAACCAAAGACAAGTTCTTATGTGCCTCTTAGGTTTAACCACTAACCAGAATGACTTACAGAAGTCAGGAGAGTACGATACTCCTGGTGAATTTTATCATAAAGCACATGGACCGGGATCAGCCAGGCAAAAAGAGCCACAGGGTGATGTCTGGTAGGACCCCAAATCCAGATCTTCTGTGCCTCTCCCCCTTGGAATCCAGAGCTTGTCACCTTCTGGGCACATCCATATGTCCCCTACCCAGGAAGCTCCACCCAGCTTCAGTGTGCAGAGATTATATTGGGATCCCTTAGTTAGGCACCATAGATTGGCTCATTGACCGTGGAGTTGAACTCAGCTCCAGCCCCATTTCCTCCTGGAAGCTCAGCGGTCCAAACTTCTTGTGATGTAGCCCACCTTCTGGTGGCCAGTGCTACCCTGCATCATCTATCTTTTAGCATAAGCCTAGGTCTACCCAGGGGCTCATGAAAAACAAAGATGCTCCTTTGAATGAGAAATCCAAGGGCTCCAAGTCTCATCCCAGGACCCAGTGGAAAGGCCACATCCTTTACTGCACAAGGATGTGGGGACAGGCACAGGTCCTGTGGGGACAGGTTAAACCTGCCATGGACTGAGTGTTTGAATCTCCCCCAAATTCATGTAGGTTGAGTATCACTAATTCAAAGATCCAACAGCCACAGGGCTTCAAAATCAGAACGTTTTTGAGCAATGACTTAACATGGAATGAAAGATCTCCCACACCATGCAACTTTGTCTGATGCACAAAAATCCTTTAAAATATTATACAAAGTCAATGATGAACATGTGTGTAAAGTGTATGTGAAACAGAAATAAACTTGGTGTTTTGTCTTGGGTCCTATCCCCAAGGTATCTCACTATGTATATGCAAATAGTCCAAAATCCAAAATCTGAAACACTTCTAGTCCCAAGCACCCTGGCCTAGAGATACTCAGTTTGTACATTAAAATGTTAAACACAATGGGATGATATTTGGAGATGGGAACTGGGGGATTATTAGGTCATGAGGGTGCAGCCCGTATGGTGAGATTAGTGCCCTTTCTTACAAGAAGAGGCAGGAGGATCATGGCAGGGCTCAACAGAAAGGTGACCATCTGCAAACCCTAAAGAGGACCCTCCTAAGAACCTGACCTTGCTGACACCCTCATCTCAGACTTCCCAGCACCCAGAACTGCTAGAAATAAACTTCTGTTGTTTAAGCCACCACGTCTACGGTGGTTTGTTACGGCAGCCCAAACAGAGATACCCTCTTATTAATAGCCTCTGATATCAGTGCTGTGGATGTCCTCAGAAGCAAGGCGTTTTGTCATGGCTCTGAACACCCACACATGTGGCCCAGGAGCCAGAGGAATAGGAAGGTGTCTGAGAAAATGTGGAGTAGTTACAGGCCTGGCTCACCTCAACCAACCAGGGAAGCCAGGAGAGGCGCCACAGTGTGAGCCACAAAGCGGGGGCTGTCGCTGCTCTGCCCCCCGCAGCGCCCTGCTCACCTGGCCCCGAATTGCCCGCCTCTGGTTTGCTCTGCACAGCCCGCCATGCTGGGTCCAGTTCACATTCCTCCTGACCCTAAAGTTGCCCAGCTCTTGCCTCTGTCTGGAGAGTTTCCCAGGCAGCCACGCTGACCCCAGATGGCGGCCCCAGGGCCACCTCCTCCAAAGGCTTCCCGGGGCTGTGCGGCACCCACGAGCTTCTCTGTCATGATTCTCCATTTTGCCCGCTGCTTACTTCCTTCAGGGCATGTGCCCCGCCCTGCGAGCGCTTTGCTTACTGGTGTCTGTGTTTATTGGCCATCTCCTCCACCGGACTGCAGGCTCTACAGGGGCAGGCATGTCTCCTCCTCAAGGCGGAGCCCAGACCTTGCACAATGTCTGTTCTTTTGTAACAACCCGTTAAACGTTAGTTAGAGAGATGAATTAGCACAATTTTAGCACTAAGGGAGCATGCATACCTCACTGGACCGGGTAGATACTGCTGCTTTGTTAGTTTCTTTGTGTTTTTTTTTTTTTTCCCCCACTGAGCAAGGAAAGGTTAAGTGATTTTCTCAAGGGCACACAGCTTGTAGATGAGAAGGGGTCCAGATGGTCCAGCTTAGAGTCTAGTAGCCATGGAAAGGAAGGGAAGAAGGACAGAGGGAAGAAGGAAGGAGGAGAGAGGATGAAAATAAAGGGTGAACAAATAAATGAGTGGAAAAGCGTCCTATGAGTTCAGCATTTCCAGACACAGGGAGATGAAGCTCCAGGGTCCTGTTAGCCCCGGGCTGATGCTGGTGGAGCCCTCGCCAAGCACTTGGGTGCTTTACCAATCTCCCTGCAGACACTGGCAAATATTCTCACATCCACGTCTCAAAGGGGATCGGGGCTTCCAACTCAGAGCCATATGTGCTTCATCACGGCTACGGCCCAGACCTTCTGTGAGCCCAGAGCTCCCCGGGGGAAGACGATTCTAACTCACCGTCTACACAGCAGTGGCATGGCCGGGCTGGTGCACAGGTCTACACCACAGCCGAAGAGAGTCCTCCCCAGGACCTCTGTCTCCTCGTGAGGATGACCCAACACGTGAGTTGAGCAAGTCATTCTCCTAGCCCCCCAAAACACTTTTTGAATTCGGGACAAGCCAAAATGTACTTTTCATTAGCAAGGGTAGAAAATAAGGCAGTAACGTGAGGATGGGTTAGGAATGGGTAAGGAGGATGGGTAAGAATCTCCATGTTTAAGTCTCTTCCGAGTATCCTGAAAAATTATGATGGAGCCGGATTAGAGACCATGATTGTATTCAGCCCAGGCCATTGAAGACTGAAGGAAAGAACCCCGCCATCAATGAACAGACCTGTGCTTGTGGCATTCCAGAGATGAACAGATGGCTGGGCATGGCAGCCCGCCCTGTAATCCCAGCTACTCTGGAGGCTGAGACGGGAAGGTCCGAAGTCTGAGATCAACATGGGCAAATTAATGTGATCTTACCTCAAAATAAAATTAAATTTTAAAAGGAGCAGGTATGTAACTCAGTGGTAGAGCGTTTGCCCATCATGCACAAGGCCCTGGGTTCCAATCCTACTACTGAAAAAAAGGCCTGTGGCGGTGGGGGAATTGACAGTGTTGTCCATAGAGCTGAGATTTAAAATGAGCTGTTTTGCTCTTTATAATTATATTCTCTATAAATGCATCTCCTCTTTATAGTTTTCTGTGTTTTTTGGCTACGATGTGCCAATTAGAAAAAAATTATAAGCCAATTTTTGTTCAAGGAGCCAAAAGAAAGGGCATATAGCTAATGTGGATGGTCATCAGCGTTGTCCTCTGGCCGTTCAGTAGCATCCTGAGGTTAAAAGCAAAAAAGATTTCAACTGCAGAGAGAATGGCTAGAGTTGAGGGGAAACTGAGGCAAGAACCCGGAGACCAAAGGTGGCCAGGAACAGAAAGAGTCAGTCTGGAGGATCTAGGGCCTAGTGAGTAGGGCCGAGAGATCTCTGTTTTTAGCACTCGAAATCCCAAATCCAAAGAAGTCCTGGGTGCCGGGCACAGGGGACAGGAAGTCACCCCACCAAGAGTGGAGGGCCGGCACCTTCCTGCAGGGCAGGGAATCCTTACTAAACTGGCTCACGGGAGAGGCCGGTTCTCTCCCTCTCCTTGAGAGGCCCTGTTCAATCCCTGAGAGAAGACCTCCTTCTCCATTTGCTTCACAGTGGTCTCCTTAAAGCCTCAGCTGTTCCAGGGAGAGTAAATAGGTTTAAAATTAATTATCAATTAAAGGGAGGTTAATTGGCATCGGGCTAGTCATCTATTTTGCAGTAAGTGAGGCAGCCCCTGCCCCCGCCCCAGAATCCAAAAACCTAGCCAGGGCCAATCAGCCTCCGCGGCAGCAGCCGCTCATGTGTGACCCACAAACTAATCAAAATAACTCCCGGAGTCCGGGCTGCCCTCCTCCCCTGTCAGAAGGTGAATTCTGGGGGCCCTTTGATTTTCCAGTTCATCAGTGTGTTAGCCAGCCTTCTAGGTGGGCTGGCCAAATTAAAACAACAGAAAAGGTGGCTGGCAAATATTTTTATTGGCATAAAGATTTTTTACCAGCTGCCACCGCACTTAGGGGAAGACCGTGGCGCAGTAACTTTGGGCAGGGAGTCCATCACTCGGCTTGGATCGTTTCCCCTTTCCTGAGCTTCTGCATCTCTGTCTCCTCTCTCGAGGCCTGGTGTCCGTTCACCACAGTCTGATTTCTTCTAGGTTCTTCTGATGGGACTCCGGGCCTTCCTGTCCTCATGGTCACCCCGGGGCAGGGAGAAGGCTGTGTGGTTTGTGTTAAGAACGGTCCTTACCTGAATTCCAGGGCTGCATCTGACCTCATCATTAATGAATATTTATAGAGGGCCGCAGGGAGCTTCTGTAAATTGAGTTCAGACCAGACAGGTGAGCGCTGGCCACCGAGACAATTACATAATCGGGGATTGGGGCGCTCGCATGTATTTAAAAGATACCGAAGCACATGCGGCTTGGCAGAGGACAGGGTAGGTCTCTGCATCCATCACTAACGCAGGGCACCCCGAGAAGCACAAAATGGGACTTGTGAGAGGCACATGTCATCGTCAAGGGCTCTAAACAAGCTCCTTATGAACCCGTCTCGGCCTGTGTCAGGCAGAGGGGGCCTGAGCCAGCGCTGCCCAGAGGAAGACCCCGAGGGTGAGGGGACGAAGCACTCTGGAACGAGGTGGACGCTGCCCGAGAGGCGGGCGGGGGGCCAAGCTCTGTTTCCGGGGTGCGGCGTTAGCTTCTGGCAAAACGTTGTCTATTCTTTTTTCCTTTCTGGCCTCCCTTCAACCTGTCTTTACTCTTCTTTTCTTCCTTGCATTTCTTAAATTAAGGTTTTCACCTGTTGACACCAGGGCCGGGGACCTCCGTGGGGCACGGGCTGTGCTGTACTGGGGAGGGTGTTAGCAGCCCTGGTCTCTACCCGCTAGGTGATCGTAGGACACTTGCCCGAGTTGTGACAATGAGAAAGTCCTCACTCATTGCCGCGTGTCCCATGGAGGCTAAGACTCAGAGCTTTAGATCAGAGACACACTGAAGAGTGATCCTTTAGCACCGATTTACAACTCTCTTTCTCATAGTGTGGCTATCTTACTTCTCAAGGGATCCAGGATCCTGCAGAGCTGTGCCACTCACAATCACACTGCGATGACAGGTGTGGACCAAGATTGTCCTAGGCAAACAGGGACTCGTGGGCTCCATAACACAAGCTGCTTCTTGCAAGGGAAGTCTGCCGATCGGCTTTCTACCGCTGAGGCCAAACACCTGACATAAACAGCTCAAAGGAGGCTGGGTTTATTTAGGCTCACGGTTGCAGAGGCTTCAGTCCGTGACCAGCGGGTTCTGTTGCTCTTGAACCTGTGGGGAGGCAGAATCAGGGTGGGAGGGCATGATAGATAGAGCTGCTCACTTCATGACAGCCGGGAAACAGAGAGGCAGGGAAAGAGCTTGAGAGAGGGGCTGGGAGCCAGATGCAGCAAGCAAGTTCATGTCCCCGTGTCCCATGTCCCCCTCCCTTTGGCTAGGACTTCCCAGTAACACCATTGAATTATCAGTCTGTCAGTGGCTAAATTCATGTAGTTTGAGCCCTCTGGTCCAAACCCTCCCCAAATCCCATCTTCTGAACAGATGAGATTTTTGGAGGACTTTGTAGATTTGCACAATAACAGGAAAGAGGAATCTTGTGTGTGTGTGTGTGCATGCGGGTGTCTAAAACTTGATAAAGGGATTTTCAGTGTCACGCATGATGCACAAGTCCGGGCTTCACTCCTGGACTGTGTTTTTAGCAATCACAGAAAGGCACTAGAATTTCATCTCGAGGAACCAGAATGCACCCACATTCACAGTGGTGTTATTTATAATTGGTCAAAAGTGGATCCCACCCACGTGCCCCCTGACGGATACACATAATGGGGTGTCCCCACCCTCCAGACTACTACTCACTCTTGAAAAGAAAGAGCGTCCTGACAGCTGCTACAGCATGGACGAACCCTGAAACACTGTAAGTGAAAGTAAGCGTGGTCACAAGAGGACAAATGTGTTAAGATTCCACTCTTGGGAGTACTTGAGGGTCCCTCTAGGAATCCGGCTAAATTCAGAGACAAAAAAGAGACCAGTGGCTGCAGGGGAGACAGAAGAGAAGGAGCAATTAGTGTTTAGTGGGGCGGGGTTTCAGGTTTGCAAGCAGAGAGAGTTCTGTGGATGGATGGTGGTGGTGGTTACACAGCAGCGTGAAACTAATGATCTGGAACTCTTAAAAACAGATAAATTAAGTTTACGCATGTATACTTTACCATCATGAAAAATAGTAAAAGTAATACATTATTTTTAGAAAGAGGAGCCAGGCGTGGTGGTACATGCCTATAATCCCAGCACTCAGGAGGCTGAGGCAGGAGGACCACCACAAGCTCAAGGCCAACCTGGGTTACATAGTGAACACACGGCCAGCCTGAACTACACAGACAGACCCTGTTTCAAAAAAATAAATACTAAATAAGAAGTAGAGCACAGTTTGACAGGGAAAGGCCAGTTGTTTTGTTTCTGAGACAGGGTCTCGCTAGTTTAGGCTGGTCTTAAACTGACTGTGTAGCTCGGGCTGACCTGGAACTTGTGGCAGTCCTCCCGTCTCAGCCTCCCAGGTGCTGGGATTACAGTGTGCACCACCACCCGGCTCACCATCTGGATTCTTGTCATTTGTCCTTGCTCAGTGCAGAAGAGTCTGTGGGTCTGTGACACTTGTCCTGTGGTTCAGCTGGCTGGGCGTGGGAGACACGGGTTGTCAGGGGTCACCTCTTTTTCTCTCTTGTCCCCGTCCTGTCCCTGCCACACCTCCCAAACCTGTTTTTGGAACCACGCATTGTCCTAATCCAAGCAGCAAACAGAGAAGCTACCTCCTCTTACCATGTGTCTTTGTGGGGTCCCTGTGGCCTCCTGTTTTCGAAGACTTTCTGAGACACTACTTTAAAATTCCTGATGAGGGCTGGGGGTTTAGCTCAGCGGCATAAGCAACTGCCTTGCAAGCGTGTGGTCATGAGTTCGATCCCCAGTACCGATAAAAATAAATAAATAAAATAAAATAAAATAAAATTCCTGATAAGCAGAAAGGGAAGCTGTGTCTTTCAGCACCAGCTACCTCCCTGCTCTGCCCAACTCAACCTGCTGACTCCTCTCAATCTGAAGAGCCCAGAATGATTTGCTCTGATCCACCATGGTGAGTTATTACCCAGAGGTGTGGCCATCAGCTTCTTAGTGGGCTTTATGCAAAGCTTACCCTCGGCAGCCCGGTGTCCAGTGTCCAGGCCGGCATCAAGCAGGACACTGGGGCAGTGTCCTCACACGACGCTAATCTCTATCATCCAGAGATGCGGCCGAGGGAAAGGTTTCCACTGCAGACTGCACATCTGGGACTGACCCTTGTCAAAGATGAGGGGACACAGAAGGGCCAGAGTGTGAGCATCCTGAAGTGTGTAACCAACCAGCCCCGTTAACAGGGTGGAAGGGCACTGAGCTTTCTAGATTGCTTTGGTGCTGTTTATTTATCCCACAGGAAGAAGTGTGAATGAACTACACAGCTGATAGATCCAAATGCGCGGATTAAGTACATGCATGCACGTGAGTGTGTGTGTGCACGCATGTGTGCTTGTGTGTTGTGTCAACCCAAAGTTTCGGGTCCAAGTGAGTGGTAATGCCAGGCTGGGAAAGTCTGTCTCCAGCCGCTGAGAGTCAGAGCTGCTCACTCTGGTGACAGATACACAGTGGCACCTCGGTTCACGAACTTGATTCTTTCCACGATTCTGGTTGCAAACTGCATTGGATGAGAACCCAATCAAATTCAGCAATGAGGCTCATTGTTGATCTTGTGGGGAAATTTAATTCGCTTCTCATTCAACACACAGAGAATTCAGTTCTCTGTGACCAGAATCATGGGAAGACTTAAGTTTGTAAACCAAGTGCCACTGCCCCTGTGTTAGCATGACTTACTCCAAACAGTCGGAGTATTTCCCCTCCTCCTTGCTCCTTGGCAAAATATTCTGGAACGATCTGGGGGTGCAAAACAAACCCTGTTCATCTCATTAGAGACGGAAGGAGCTGGAAGCCAGCATATGTCTGTAAATATTCAGTAATTCAACACAACCGGCCCAGCTTCAGGTGAGATCCTAAGTTAGCTCTGCAGATATGGAGATGGAGCGTTGTAAAGCTGCAACGCATTTAGGGAAGAAACCCCCAGGTTTAAGTGCTAATGCATCTAGCCGAGATGAGGAACAGGGCATAGTTAAGGGGCAGGGTGAGAGCCGAATGGGGAAATCCTTCCCAGACCGCAGGATGGGTCTGTTTGATGTTAATCTTGCTAACTAGGCTTCTCAGAGCAAAGGCAAACACGCAGGGCCAAGGTAGCCTCGCGGATGTTTGCTCTTTGGTTAATATTAATGTGTGTTCCCGTGATTTGCACTTTCCAGGCTGCTCCAGGTCGGTCCTGCCGGCCATCTGTGAGGGGCAGCTATGCTGATACAGCGGCCAGAGGACGATGTCGGGTTTTTCCTAACTATACCCAGAGCCCTTAAATGGTGTCTCTGACAATTCTTATTTCTGGTTTTCATCTTAAGTGCTAATATGAAGTAAGCCCCAGTACTAAGGTAGAAAGGAAGTTAACAATTGCCAACCACTTTTTTTTTTTTTTTTTTTTTGTGATCCTGGGCATCAAAGCTCGGAGAGGCTCCTTCTGACATCTTCCCGAGAGTCCTGCGGTACTGGGGATTGAACCCAAGGCCTTCATACTGAGCTCCATCTGCCCCGCCCCCCTTTTCTAAATTTTGAGGCAATTTCTCTATGTGGCTCTGGCTGAGCTCAGACTTGCAATCCTCCTGCCTCAGCTTCCCAGAGCACTGGGGATTACAGTGTGCACCATCACGCCTGGCTCCAAGCACTCTTCATTAAGGACTCTAAATTCATTATCTCGTGTCATGACCTGCATTAGCCCTCACCAAGCCTCTAGAGTACTGTCACCCCCATTTCACTCAACCGATGAGACAGGCGCAGAAATGATCGCTTGCCTAAGGCCATGTGATCTCAGCGGCCATGATCACTCCAACACGTGAAAAGCTGGCTTTCCCTTTATGAAGCTAGAAATTGGGGTTAGAGTTGGCTATCTCCTGGTGCATTACGTGATTTTGTTTTTTCAGGTCATTCAGTGGTTCAGAAAGGAGAGGGAAGAAATGGGAAAGCCAGACAGAAGGGAAGGTACTATCAGGAGACAATGACTCCAGATGGAAGACGAAGCATCTCTGATGAACGGCAAATACACCTCAGTTTGAAACTAACTTAGAACCACATCCAACTATAGTGCACTCATATTCAAGGCACAAATTAAAACACATTATTGAGGAAGGCAGAGAGACAGAGTGATGCGTGGGAAACAGGGGAGGCTTTGAAGTCAGGGGTTCCTGGCTGCAAACACCTGCTGGCACTTACAAGCTGTGTGACCTTAGGCAAACTGCTTAACCTCTCTGATCTTCCACATCTTCATTTAGGAGCTGCAGGTAATAGCATTTACCTCAGAAAGGGTACTGTAAACTTTAAATAGGATAAAGACCCCCAAAGCACCCATGTCATAATAAAGATATTCATTCCCTTCACATTCTCTAGGTATAGAATTGTTACTGAAGTCTCTACAGTTACTTGAAGGGCCCACAAACAGAATGCTATTAACAGTCAATAAAAGACCGGGAAATAATTCTACTGGGAAATATTTAAGATATAATGAATGTGCGTCTATGATACAACTCGTAGAAATGTGGAGATGGCTTCATTAGCAGATGGTGTCACAGACACACCAACTGACCGTGCCTGCTTTCTCCTGTCCTGTTCGGGGCGTGCTCCTTGGATCCCTAATCTCGTAAATATTTACTTCACAGGAAACCAAATGAGCACTTCACACGGGTCTGGGAATCACAGTTGATGGTACTGCCCCGAGGAGATCAATAACGGGTTGGCCTGGTGAACCCAGGTGCCCGGAGAATCTTCTCCTCCTCGGGCCAATTATTCATCAGATAAAACTGGCGTCCCGGAGACTCACGCTGGAAAATGATGTTTTCAAACCACTCAAAACCCACTGCATTTTGACAGCATTAAAAGAAAGATTCCCAGCCGCGTGTGACCTAATCGAGGCAATAGGATTTCACTCCGAGGGCCTCTCTTTCAAAGGCATTTTTTCCCTTTCACATCTTCATACTTTAGTTTCTTCTACTTAACATTAACAAGGGGAAATTTACTCATGTTTCAGAATCGGAGAGCTGGACTCTTTGACAGGTAAGCAGAACAAGACGGCTGAGAATAAAACCATTTTTGCAGCCGAGGCCCAC